TGTGGAGCTGGGTGCGAGTATAAACGAGCATTACGAGACAGGCTGCGTGTGCGGCAAGCATGAACGGCTCGTCCGTGACGCGGAATTCGCACCGCGTGGAGCAGAGAGGACCGAGTATGAGAAGCATTCACAGACACAGGCTGTGTGTGCGCTCTTCTGAATTGGGAATAGCGAACATGCATTATAAACTTATTTCAAATTAATCTGTTGGGGAGATAAAATGTGTAAGATAACGTTCATGTACTAACAAAAACATCTAAGAATGTATCTTTTATTCTCCAGTACTGAAAACAGAACCGATAAGGGAGCTTTTGATATGCGCTGTGACGCAGCTCTTGCAAATTACCTTTTTTGTTCGTTGTCTGTCATTTCGAAGCTTAAGTTACATACGTTTTTCTTTAGTTTTAATTTGCCTAACTATCGATCTGACCCTGTAGACGCCATAATCCCACTCTGTCTCTCTCTCCCGCTTTCCTAGTTTTTTTTTAATGGTGGGCGTTTACGCAGTTGGCTAGAGCAGTGCTGATTGGGGAGAACGGAGGTGCGCTCACTCTATTGGTTAGTAAGACTACAACTCAAGGCTAGTAATATCGCGTCCACATCGCAGGCTTTGCGATTAGCAAATCGCAACGTCTCAAATCGCGATTCGATTTCGATTAATCGCACAGCCCTAGCATGCACTACAACAAATGAATATCTTCCTCAGTATGTTTGTCTTTTTTTTGTTCAATACAGATATCTAAACATTCCTAAATCAAGATACTTTTACTTGGGTTTCTTGTTTTAATCAAACTCACTACATTTTAAGAAATTTCTCAGAAGACAAGAAGACCTAGGAACTGAAAAAAAATACTGAGGAAGATTCTCTCTTTTTTTTAGCAGTGTGATCATAAGGTACAGTAAAAGTTATTTCCATATTCTAGTGGTTGGAAGCTATTAAGTGGCTTAAGCTGTTTGGTTTTGTAAAATGAATTAAAAAGGGAGATCTGTTGGAAATTGTTGAAACTTTAAAGTGTTGCTACTACAACTCATTGTCTGCTCTCTAGAGCAGTGGTTCCCAACCCTGGTCCTGGAGGCACCCCAACACTGCACGTTTTGCATGTCTCCTTTCTCTGACACACCAGTTTCAGGTCTTGGAGTCTCTACTAATGAGCTGATGACCTGAATGACATGCAAAACGTGCAGTGTTGGGGTGCCTCCAGAACCAGGGTTGGGAACCACTGCTCTAGACATTATATTCACTTCAGTTTATTCCTTTACATTTTTTTTTTTTGCTTAGTCTTAAAGTCTTAAATTTACCTTATACCATAAAACCTACAGAAACCCTGGTTTTAATTTTTTAGTTCTAGTAATTTTTTTTGTGATTTTCTTTAAGTAGTAGTTTTTTAATGTCTATTTTAATGTTAATTAATTCTACTTCAGTTTTAATTTTAGTTATTTTAGTGCATCAAGTTAAAATGAAAATGAGTATCTAGGCAACTAGCTGAAATAATTAGAATTTTGAAAAATATTATATTTTAAGTTTACATTTATTTCAAGTAATGTTTTTTCTGATGTGGATTCAGTGGAATAATCAGCTGTTCACCACACTTTATTCTGTTTACAAGGAAAAAAATGTACTCCGTGTCTTTGCTTTTTCTAAACAATATTTTTTGTGGTTCTTATCAGAACATTTACAGTGTGTGGAAAGTACTATTCTAGACTATTGTTAACTGACAACAATGTATTTGGAAACATTTTCTGAATTGGAAAAGCAGTTGACAATGTGGGGAAACTTGTTAGATGTGTGATATCATTCATAAAGGAAAGTCAACAGTGGGCCAAAGCATTTGGTGCAAATTAATTGAGGACAACCCATGCTTTGCCTTCCCCTTTGTCTCACGCAGGGTTTCTGCTAATATACATTATTTTCCTTGCTGCAGAAAGTTCCATATAAAAAAATTGCCATGTTGTTGTTCCCAGATGGAGCATTCAGATGAGAGGTTTATAGCTGTCAGGGAGCCAGTTGGGATCAGGATGTCTCATGTAGTTTTTGGCATCTGGAGCTGCTTATTAGGAATGCCGAGAAGGAGCCTCCCCAAAAATGTAGTATAAATATTTAATCTAAACACAGGATGGAAAGTTTACTGCATGTGTGTTTTTCTATCAGTTGTTATAGTCCGATTCCTGTCTGTCCCTTTGGAGTTGTTTTAGTCATCTGTGGCATTGTTTTTTGTTTTTGTTTTGGACATTGCATAGAATAAATAAATAAACGCAACACTTGTTTTATTGATTTAATGCCTGGGTTTTAACCCTCTATTGCACACATTACAACAATAGAGTGGAGTATTAAAGTAGACTTTAATAAATGGATAATGTAAAAAAAAAACACGATGACTGCAAAAGCTACACATCAAAAGTTCAAAAGGTTGGGGTGTGCAAGATTTTTTAAAAATGTTTTTGAAAGAAGTCTGTTATCTACACCGAGGCTGCATCATTTGATCAAAATACAGTATTACAGTAATATTGTGAAATATTAAAATTCAAAATTGTTTTCTATTGTAATATATTAAAACAAATGTAATTTATTCCTCTGTTGGAAAAGCTGAATTTTCAACAGCCATTACTCTTCAGTCTTCAGTGTCACATGATACTTCAGAAATCATTCTAATATGTGATCTGATATGTTATCATGTTGAAAGCAGTTGTGCTGCTTCATATTTTTGCAGGATTTTTTGATTAGGTAGTTAAATGAACAGCATTTTTTTTGCAAATTGATTGCAATAAACTGCAAATTATGCTGTTCATTAAAACTGCAAATTAAAATAGAATTTTTTGTAACAATGTAGTCTTTACTGTCACTTTTGATCAATTTCATCCTTAAGACTTAAACTACTTCAGTCTGTGTGCATTGAATTTATTTAATACACGAGTTTCACAATTTGAGTTGAATTACTGAAATAAATGAACTTTTCCACGACATTCTAATTTATTGAGATGCACCTGTAAAAGTATTAATTTCTTTGAAGAAAAATTCTTGCTGACCCCAAACTTTTTAACGGTAATGTACATCCATTCAGTGTTGCTTCTAAGTAATATTTAAGCAATTCCTTCTAAAAAATATTCTTTGTCTACAAATGTTTCACAAACAAATGTGAATCATAATTTGATGGGATAAATTTGAGGGCAGTTCTGCAGAACAAAAATGTGCATCCTCCACATGGCAGAAAAAGATTTTAAAATGACCATAGCCATTAAAAATAGCCATTTTATTATGACCCAACATGCTTAATATCTTACAAAACAAAGAAAATTGTAACTCTGAGATAATATTGTACAGTAGAGGGTTAAAATTAAAAGGGGACAACCAGACTCTTTACTTCATAATATTTTCTGCATTTTAGGAAATAATTACATGCAGAATAATTACAAATAATGCATGTGTGGAATGCTGTGCATGATTGACAACATAATCACAGAGGAAATAATCACACGGTGTCATTCCTGCCTGTCAGCAGCTGTTAAACTGTCCTAATGACCAACATGTTTCTTTCTCAACACTTCTACATATTCTTCAGTCGAGTCACAACACTTCAGGGAAATGCATCCATTACCAGCATCCATGCCGTTCTATAGTCTGTGGCCTACCTAAACCATCTGGGGGGGTGGAAACCTCCTGAAACTGCAAATAGAGTCCACATGCGTAGCAGCTGCTCTCCTTCCTGCCAGATCCAAATAAACCTCTTTCTCATTCTCCTGATCAGCAGTATAAGGAGGAAACCCAGGGAATGTTTTCCAACAAGCAGTCCATCTTTCTAACTTTCGGATATCAGCTCTGGATGGCTTCTTCACATGCACTACTACTACAGTACAACGTGGCCCTTTAAACTAGATGCATCCCAGTTAACACCTGGGCTCTAGTTTTGCTTCTTGTTCAGAGCTGTAAAAGTCAATACTGCAATTTGAAGAATCCTTTCTTAGAAAGGAGGATGCACTGTTAACACAGTGTGTGTGTGTGTGTGTGTGTGTGTGGCTCAACACATCTCTGTGTTTTTGAGGTGGCTTGTAAAAAAGGGTCAATTCCAGGGGGCAGCTGGTGCCGGCTGTTAGCATTCCATTTGCCTGTGAAGGAGCAAGGCAAAAGACACGGCCAAACTCTCTCTGCTCTCAGTCCAGGCACGTCTCTCTAAATACACTGGCCATGGCCAGTATTCCCACTCATCCAGTGCTGCAGCTGCTCTTGAAAGAAGTAGTAATTATGCATTGTCAGAGTCCAAACACTGGCAGTGTGGCTGCATTGGGAGGTGCGCCACTGGCCGTGACTGTGCATTTGAGTGGCCAGGAAGATCAGATCCCATCAGTGCCGAGCCAGGAGCCTTGTGATGTGGTGGCATCAGGTGGGGCAGCTTGTGGAAGGGCCAACAGCGCAACTGCTGCAGTCTTTGCTTGCAAGAATGTCAAGTAAAAACTGGTTTCATCAGGCTGTGTGGTTTGTTCCCCACCCTGTTGAAGTGCGGTGATCTTCCCGCTAAAAATAATATAGTGGCTGGAAGGTCAGGCGGGCAGGCAGGAAGCATGTTCATTAAAACGTCATTCAGCCTGTATTTTCATATTAAATATGAGTTCATTATTAATTGCTTTTCATGTGGCGTAAAGATTTAGATTGAGTGTATTTTTTTCTAATCACCTAGTCTGAAAGCGATGAAACCAGCCCAACACAAATTCAACTCAAGCCAGTGAACTTCAGGTTGCTGTTTCACGGAAAACATCAAACTGACAGCGAGCTGTAAGAAAACGCTACCGCGGTGCTGTTTTGGGTCATCTTAGATCTTTTGTCTCCTCTTTCAGGCGTTGGAGGAGGCCCAGAAAGCCATCCAGCAACTCTTTGGCAAAATCAAAGACATCAAAGACAAAGCAGAGAAATCGGAGCAAATGGTGAGTAAAAATAAGCCCTCCAGACAGGATCCTAGTCATTTAAGGCCTAAGAAGTCAACCCAGAGTAAATAGCCATTCACCACCCACCCACCCCAACAGACTGGGTAACCGAGGCACAAGAAACTGTGACATCCTGTGGTTTTTGTCCACAGCACTCTTTTTGAGCCCAAGGTAACACTGGCCATCTGTGAATGTAATGCAGTGCAGATAAGAGGAAGGGCAAGGGGAGGAAGGCAGGAGAACAATAGCAAAGCTCTGTCCCTGTGTCCTCAATATGGTGAAGCGATATAAAGGAATGCATGATATGTTGGAACCATATAAGTTATTGGTTGATATTAAAATGATTTTAGTATTGAAAAAATATGGATAATAAATAGGTTTTAATATTGAATTAATAGTAATTGACGTGCATGTTTATTTCCTCTAGTTTTACTTTGGGATTACCTTTGCCAACATATATAATATGTAATCAACGGTAACACTGGCCATCTGTGAATGTAATGCAGTGCAGATAAGAGGAAGGGCAAGGGGAGGAAGGCAGGAGAACAATAGCAAAGCTCTGTCCCTGTGTCCTCAATATGGTGAAGCGATATAAAGGAATGCATGATATGTTGGAACCATATAAGTTATTGGTTGATATTAAAATGATTTTAGTATTGAAAAAATATGGATAATAAATAGGTTTTAATATTGAATTAATAGTAATTGACATGTGCATGTTTATTTCCTCTAGTTTTACTTTGGGATTACCTTTGCCAACATATACAGTGGGTACGGAAAGTATTCAGACTCCCTTAAATTTTTCACTCTTTGTTATATTGCAGCCATTTGCTAAAATCATTTAAGTTAATTTTTTTTCCTCATTAATGTACACACAGCCCTGACTTAAACCCAATTGAGCATCTCTGGAGAGACGTAAAAATGGCTGTCCACCAACGTTTACCATCCAACCTGGCAGAACTGGAGAGGATCTGCAAGGAGGAATGGCAGAGGATTCCCAAATCCAGGTGTGAAAAACTTGTTGTATCTTTCCCAAAAAGACTCATGGCTGTATTGGATCAAAAGGGTGCTTCTACTAAATACTGAGCAAAGGGTCTGAATACTTAGGACGATGTGATATTTCAGTTTTTCTTTTTTAATAAATCTGCAAAAATGTCAACAATTCTGTGTTTTTCTGTCAATATGGGGTGCTGTGTGTACATTAATGAGGAAAAAAAATTAACTTAAATGATTTTAGCAAATGGCTGCAATATAACAAAGAGTGAAAAATTTAAGGGGGTCTGAATACTTTCCGTACCCACTGTATAATATGTAATCAACAAATGTAATTATTAGCAAATCTCAAAATGAACGTGCATTTTTGCACTGTATATTACTGTGATGCCTAAATTAACTTGTAACATTTAAAATGGTTGAAATGGTTTAAAATGATTTTTTTAGTGTTTTATTTTATTTTATTTTTTTATTTTATTTGTTTAGACCGAGTCGTATAGAATTATTAATATCGGCAATTTATTGGTAATTTATAATTAAATACTACTAATGAAATAATATAATAATATTTTGTTCAAAAGTTTGGGGGTTGTAGGATTAAAAAATATATATAAATTAATACTTTTATTAAACAAGGATGCATTAAATTGATCAAAAAAGACGATAAATACATTTAAATGTTACAAAAGATTTCTGTTTCAAACGACTGCTGTTCTTTTGAACCTTCTATTCATCATAGAATCCAAAAATATCAGCGCAAAATATCAACACAACTGTTTTCGACATTGATAGTAATTATAAGAAATGTTTCTTGAGCACCAAATCAGCATATTAAAAAGATTTCTGAAGAATGAAGTGACTCAAGACTGGAGTAATGGCTGCTGAAAATTCAGCTTTGACATCACAGGAATAAATTACATTTTAAAATATAGTAAAATATAAAGCTGTGATTTAAAATTGTAACAATTTTTCACAATATTACTGTTTGTACTAGTTTTGATCAAATAATTGCAACCTTGGTTAGCATGAGAGACTTCTTTCGTAAAAATGAAAAACCTTACAGACCCCAAACTTTTGATCGGTACCGTATAATATATTTAATCATATAATAATCATATAACAAATACAATCATAATATAATAATTGTCAGCCAAAATGTCAATATCTGTGACACAACTGTTTTCGACATTGATAGTAATTATAAGAAATGTTTCTTGAGCACCAAATCAGCATATTAAAAAGATTTCTGAAGAATGAAGTGACTCAAGACTGGAGTAATGGCTGCTGAAAATTCAGCTTTGACATCACAGGAATAAATTACATTTTAAAATATAGTAAAATATAAAGCTGTGATTTAAAATTTTAACAATTTTTCACAATATTACTGTTTGTACTAGTTTTGATCAAATAATTGCAACCTTGGTTAGCATGAGACTTCTTTCGTAAAAATGAAAAACCTTACCGACCCCAAACTTTTGATCGGTACCGTATAATATATTTAATCATATAATAATCATATAACAAATACAATCATAATATAATAATTATCAGCCAAAATGTCAATATCTGTGCATCTGTAATGTATCTAAAAATGTGCTTCAGGTGAAAGAGATCACACGGGATATCAAGCAGCTGGACCACGCAAAGCGTCACCTGACCACTTCTATAACCACCCTCAATCACCTGCACATGCTGGCTGGCGGTGTGGACTCTCTTGAGTATGTTTATACAAAATACCTTCTCCCATGATTAGTCCATTTGCTCAGTCCTAACAGTGTGCTAAAAGCTTGTCTAATTGTGCCTTTGCAGAGCTATGACTCGAAAGAGGCAATATGGGGAGGTGGCCAATCTCCTTCAGGGTGTAGTCAACGTGCTCGAGCACTTCCAGAAGTACATGGGCATCCCCCAGATACGTCAGCTCTCAGAAAGGTAAGAGCACAAGCCTCACTCACACACTGTTAATTTGACTAAATCATGGTGCTGTGAGTCTGTAGATCCTGTTTATGTTTACTGAAGATGCAGCACAGGATGGAAATCTGCATCACAGTGGCTCATTATTTACGTTTTTTTTTTCCACTTTGGCCTTTCCCCCCAGCTCTTTGTTTTGAGCCTTTCCCAGAGGAGGTGCTCTCTCTGGTTTGGGTGGTGCAGTCCCTGTCCCCTGCAGGCTCAGAGACTGGGCCTTTTGTTAGGAAAGAAACAGGTCTCCGGTCCCTATGATTCTGTGCTTCACATTGCTTGTTTATGTTGGATGCTCTGATAAAGCTGTTGTTTCATTAGCAGATGGCAAGGAAGGGGGTGTTTGATGTGGAAAAACAATTCCCCTGATTGTTCCAGGTTCTAAATGTTTCTCTGGAAAAGCATGTATCTGCACTTCCTTTTCAGTGCCCCTGTAGTCAAGTTTACCCCATTGGTTCATAAGACCTTTCACAGACGGACCTCATATGTTAAACGCCATCCTTGATGATGAGAGTTTGTTTGGTTGAGCATGCATTTGTACATCAAGCGAATCCAGTGTTTTGTTAAAACAGCATTTAAGTTTGCCAAAGTACATCAGTGGTTTCTGACCGCTGCGTGACTCTCGTTTTTTTCTCGTCTGTTTCTTTTGTGGTGTAGAAAGAGATTATATTTGATGAGGGTGGGGACTGTGCTTAGGAATTTACAATGTAAATAATATTAGCCCCCCTTTGGTGATCAGATGGACTGATTTTAGCGCTGTTGTTTTGAACTACACAAGCTTACCACATATTATGAGGACAAAAAAGTCTTGCGAAGTCTAATTGGATTTATGTGATGCTTAATATTAGTTCATGCCAAATATAGAGAAACTGAGATGCTTTTGTTCTGAGCCCGACTGTCCCTAAATGGAGATGTCTGGTTGGTTTTGAGGTGTGGCAGAGATGTTTGATCAGGGGCGGCAGCTGAGGGATGTGCTGCGGTTCAGACAGAGTTGAGGTCTTAATGGAGTTGGTGAGAGAGCAAATTTGCAGCCATGTGCCACGTTGAAGACTGGTGTCTGACTGGCAAGCACATGTGTCTCCATCTCTCTCTTTCGCTCACTCTCCCTCTGAGTATCTTTGTTGTTTATTTTGGATGACACTTGTGTTGAGTCTGCTTGCGCCAGCAAATAATCCAGAAATGAAAAGAGCATCTTCTAATCATCAAGTCGTGGTTCATCTAAACCCTTTTGATGGGATTGGGCTTACTTTACACTGCCTCTTAGATTTCTGAGACTTTGGTCCAAAGTACAGTTTGGCCTTGTCAGTTAATACAATTTGAATTTACATCTGTTTTTTTACAAGTAGCTGATATTTCTGTCTCTGTTCCATTTATTTCCCCAGTGCCAGTTGTTCTAAGAGCTGCCATCATTTAGAGGGATCTAAGTACTAGCTGTTCACTTTGCCCTAATAGAGACTGAGACATAGGGATAGACCATGACTAGGGATGTCAAAAGTACTGGTATTTAGTTACAAAGTTAAATGTAAAAAAGATGTAGTGAATATACCAGTCTTTATACAGTATTGGTGGCATTTGTTTGCATGCTCTGCAAGGAAAGCTTTGTAGTGACTTGACTACACAAGGTCAAATTGCCTGTCTTGACAATGTAGCAAAGTAACAGTGGGTTTATGAAAGTAAACATGCAAAACAAAATGTTTCTCAAAATATGGGATCTATGCATTAGGCCTTACAGTTTAAATGTAGTAGACCTGCCATTGTCATTGATATTAATCAAACAAGATTTACAAGAAAAGGAGAATCCTGCCCTTAATTTATTCCACTCACTGCTCTTAATCTTCATTTCTAAATTTCATTGTTGTCATTGTTAAACTTTTAATGAAATTTGTGAGTTTAAAAAAAATTTTTAACTTTTTAATTAAATCTATTAATCAAACAAGATTTACAAGAAAAGGAGAATCCTGCCCTTAATTTATTCCACTCACTGCTCTTAATCTTCATTTCTAAATTTCATTGTTGTCATTGTTAAACTTTTAATGAAATTTGTGAGTTTAAAAAAAAAAAATTAACTTTTTAATTAAATCAGTGTGTTCAGTAGTATATATGTTAGCTAATACGGAGTATATTTATATTTGTTCTAACAGAATTAGTGTGAAGTATTGTAAAATTTCACTTGTATTGCTCATATTGGTATCATGAATTTATTGCTTTTAAAACTCATTAGACACCAGGGAATCCTAAGACCACCAGGAGTCTTGTAAACACTCACCCATCTGTTTTGCTCCTCCTCAGAGTTAAAGCTGCACAGAGCGAGCTTGGCACGCAGATACTGGCCGACTTCGAAGAGACTTTTCCTGCCCAGGGGTCAAAGGTACAGATGCAGTGCTCTGATGAAAAGATTATAAATAATCACCTCTCAGTATTAGTGCATAGCCAGTCTCTGTATCATTCCTGTGACGCATTTAGTTTGATATTTACAGAAATCTGGAGGTCCTAGCATTGTTCTCAGAGATGCCTGCTTGGTGGCAAATGTCCTGGATCCTCGAATTAAGCAGGAGATCATCAAAAAGTTCATCAGGCAGCACCTTTCAGAATACCTAGTGCTCTTCCAAGAAAACCAGGATGTAAGTGTGACCTTGTGCGTCCTGTACATGCTGAAATTGTGCTATACCATCACACTTACGGTCTGTTCTGCTGTTTGTCCTGAGTACAGGTGGCGTGGCTCGACAAGATAGACCGGCGCTATGCGTGGATCAAGCGTCAGCTTGTGGACTATGAAGAAAAGTATGGGCGAATGTTTCCTGAGGAGTGGTGCATGACCGAACGTATCGCTGTAGAGTTCTGTCATATCACCAGGTAACGATCGAACACCTCACACTAATGCTGCATTCACATAATATTGGTCCTTCATAAATTCTTGACTTGTGAAAACCATCCATGTCATTAGTCAGATTTCCATCCACATTTTTATGCAAATATCGGGATATAGAATGTTGGGTGTAAATAAAATTTCCACAATGCCATTAAAACATTGCTCGCCTGAGGTGGATGATTTCTTTTTTGACATTCACATATTCACAAAAAAGTCATTTGCAATTGCACATGGGATAGAAATGCTGCTTTTATTTGTTATTTTTAATTGTTTTTGGAATTATTTATATTTTTAATGCAAGAAATTTACAACTTGAATGGAACAAAATATAGTCGTTCTTCTAATTACATGTAAACGTTCAATTAAAGCTTCAATTTCTCAAACTTGTTTGTGTTATGTGATGTTGAATACAAATATCCTTTGTATAGTTATAAATATCTTTATAACTAAAGATGGTTACACTTCCATTCAAGTCTGAGTGCAGTAAGATTTTTATTTTTATCTGAAAGTAATTAAAACTATAATAATTGTAATATTTCAGTATTTCAGTAATACAATATTATTTCTTTACTGTGTTTTTGATGAAATAAATGCATCCTTCCAGAGAATAAGAGACGTCTTCATAAACATTTAAAAATTGTACTGACCCCAAACTTTTGAACCGTAGTGTAGAGTGCAGTAAGATTTTTATTTTTATCTGAAAGTAATTAAAACTATAATAATTGTAATATTTCAGTATTTCAGTAATACAATATTATTTCTTTACTGTGTTTTTGATTAAATAAATGCATCCTTCCAGAGAATAAGAGACGTCTTCATAAACATTTAAAAATTGTACTGACCCCAAACTTTTGAACCGTAGTGTCCGTTGCTAACTACATTTTTTTTGTTAACTATTTTGTGTAATTTTACTGTTTTTCAAAGATTGAAAAGAGAATAAAGAGGTGTAGCATTTATAGTGATTATGTATATTCTGCTGTCTTCAATAACAATGCCAGACATGGATACAATGTGGCGTAATTAGTGTTGCCATAGAAACAAATAATTTTTGAGTCTGGAGACATGAGCAGTTCTGAGTAGAGTTGTAATTACCGTAATTCTGACATGATGTGAGTGCAGCATAAATCCACATTATCTCCATAACCCTATTGAGAAAATACACCTGGGATTTACATGTGCATTTAGAGGTTAGCTTGGAAGACTAGACATTAGACAGCACACAACTATGGCATGATTTAGCAAAATACATAATTGTGCGCAGTATGACATGAATGATTAGATGGAAAGGAACTGGTTACATGTCTGGGATTTCAGTACTGGTATTGACAGTCTAAAGTAGGCTGTGTGTGTATGTGTGTAGTCTATAGTCGAATTCCTCTCGAGAGTCATTACAAAACCCTCAGTGTCTGGAAAGAACGTTTGAGGTCCACTGTAATACAATCTAATATATTTCTCTTTTTTTGACAAAGCTTTATGTAAGAATGGATACACCACACCACCATCTTCTCCCTATGTAGGCTTATTTTCTTCTCACAAAACGATTCTTTTTCAAGCTGACAGTAACTGGATCTTTTCTTTCGAATACAACACTGATCCACTGTGGTTTCCTTTAACAGCCAAACCAGGTTTCTGCACAAACTGGCCTATAAAAGCAGTGACCTGAAGCCTTAGTCCTACTTGGCACGTTAGCTTTCACTGACAACCTTTGTCTATGTCTGTTTTTCATTTGCTCATCAGAACCGAGCTGGCCAAGCTGATGCGAACCCGTGCCAGGGAGATCGAGGTCAAGCTTTTGCTCTTTGCTATTCAGAGGACCACCAATTTCGAAGGACTGCTGGCTAAGCGCTTCTCGGGCTGCACCTTAAACAACGGGCCTGGGGTGAGACCACGCTTGCACTATGTTTTGGATGCCATGCCTGTTTGCTGCCAAGCACAAAAAGGTTTTACTGGGGCGTGAGCATGCTGCTAATCTGGCTGTTGTGTAATGTTTCTTCTCCTTTGCTCTCACAGCAGAAAAAACCTGAGACCCCTCTAGAACCAACAAACCCCTTTTTGGAAGACGAGTCAGGAGAGGACAATGTATCAGAAAAGGATGAAGATTTGGATAGAGTGAGGCTGCTTAACTTTATTTGCACTTTATTATGCAGCAACGACCACATTTTTACCACATGCAGTCCACTCCCCACCCATCTTCTGATAGAAACTGATACCGCATTTGGTGCCATTCCAACATGCAATTTACATTTCTTTCTAATATAGTTTGATTTGACTCACATCTGAACTATGGCTTGAATCAGGTGCATATTGTCTGGAATTGACGTGTTATGAAAACATTCAAGGCACCGTGTGTTTAGAAGTCTTTATTTGCCGTCTATTTATCAAACTCTTAAAGTGTACTTTAATATAACAGCTTGACTTTGGCTCAGATCCTTTATTTATTGCACACTCATTTCCTTTTATCTTCAAATTGGCAATGTTCTCAGTATCAGGAGTTGTAAGAACATTTCTGGTGATTTGGATTCCTTAGAAGTTCACTGTTATCACTGTGATGTTTTCGCTATACGATTTCCTCCCACTTTCCCCATCACGCTGGTGCCAGTGCAGCACACAGCTCAAATAGAACTAATATCAAACTGAATGAACTAAAACTAATAAATACAATTAAATAAAAACTAAACAAACTTTTTGTTGTTTTCATCCTACTTTAACAAACTTATTTTATTACAAACTTATTTTATTTTATCTAGTTGCCAAGGCAACATTTCTCATTTTTATTGTTTAACTTGATGTACTAAAATAACTAAAACTAAATAAACTAAAACTAATAAATGTATATGAATCAAAACTATATATACATATTAAAAAACAAAACAAAATGTAATAAAAATAACAAAAACAAAACAAAATTATTAAAAATGTTACTAAAATTAAAGTGAGAACAGAAAATATTTTTAAAATCTTTAGAAAACACAACAAAAACAGTAAAATAGTAAATCAATGATACTAAAATAACACACTTTTTAAGAAATTCTTGATTAAGTACTTTTTTGCTGTTCACAGCCAAAGAAGCCCAAGGCTCCAGACAACCCCTTCCATGGCATTGTGTCCAAGTGCTTTGAGCCTCATCTCTATGTTTACATCGAGTCGCAGGATAAGTGAGTGAAATGTGCTTGAACAATCATATCAGATGAGTCACACAAGTATTAGTCCATTCATTTCAGGGTCATTTAAGGGCCCTCCTTACCAACCTCCATTTCAGATGCACTTGTGATCTTCCCTTTCTTGTACCAACCCCCCCTTTTTAGTAGTTCCCTTGTCTGACTCTCTCCGCCTCACCACTGAGGTAAAAATGGTTCCCATTAGCTGTTCACCACACATGCTGCAGACAGCCTGAAAACAGCAGCTGATTTATTTCTTTACTTGTCTTTTCTCGTTCTTTACCTCTCTTTTTCCTGCTTACCCTTTCTCTAATCCCACGAGGCTCCCAAGAAAAGGACTTTTTGTAAAAGGCCCTTCTCTGGCCCATGTAACACTCCGCTGGCACTGCCTAAAGCAGAATGACCTTTCTGTTAACAATGGCTTGCATTATACCAGTTCACACTGACCTGTCTGGCATGAGAGTGTCCACATTCTTCTCTTGGGGTTAGCATCTAACTGATTACTCAGTGCTGAGAGAGATGGCCTATTTACTGACCTTACAATACATTGCTGTTCAAAGCAAGTTTAACACATTGTGATTTCAGTGATAGTTAGATATGTGGTGTTAGCTTTGTTTTTTAAATAGTTTGTAAATTTGACATTGCTTTGTTACCAAGTTTTTTTTTTAATTTAATTGTATTTTTTTTAAATATTTTATTTAGTAGTTTTTCCAGCAAAACGCATTTATCCCCCAAAAACCTTGCAAACATATATTTTTTTTTGTAGTTTTTTATTACCAATTTTATTACCAATAAAAATCTCATATCTTTTATTCTGTTCTGTTTAACATACATTTTGCTATCTTTAAATCCATTCCACAGAATTATGCAGATTTTGCCTCAGAATACGTGCAGCAAATGCAGCTAAAGTCTGCAAATTCCGTCTAGTCCTACTGTCATTAATCATTTTGTTTTCTGTCTTAGAAATCTTGGCGAGCTGATCGACCGTTTTGTTGCTGATTTCCGGGCACAGGGTCCCCCTAAATCAGGTACAGATGAGGGAGGTGCTGTGCTGCCCAGCTGTGCAGATCTCTTCGTGTACTACAAGAAGTGTATGGTCCAGTGCTCGCAGCTGAGCACTGGAGAACCCATGATTGCTTTGACCACCATCTTCCAGAAGTATCTACGCGAATATGCCTGGAAGATCCTCTCTGGGAACCTACCAAAGTGAGTCGAGCCACCTGACTGGTCCTCACATGACGCTTTTTTCCCCGTCTTTCTCCCTTTTTATGGTTAAAATTTGATCTTCCTAGTCACTGGGGATTTCATTTAGGGTGTTATGCTGTGGTGATGCTGGGTAGGAGAGCGAGTGGTCGTCTCTGTGTGGTCTCATTTGTGGGGTTTCTCTGTGCTGCTCTTCAAAGCAAAAAAAATCCCCACCCGTCGCCTTGTGTGGTTTACCCCTTATTGTCTTTGGAAGTTTCAAAAAAGATCTTTGTTTTGGAGAAGCTGTCTTGTGGTTTCCATGCAGTCTTTCTTGTGTTTCTTTCAGCGGGAGGGCCGGAGGGTTGAGTTAGGGTGCTTTGGTAACCATGTTTGTGCATGTTTGCATGCAGGACCAGCACCAATAGTGGTGGTCTGACCATCAGCAGCTTGCTGAAGGAGAAAGAGGGATCAGAAGTGGCCAAGTTCACAATGGAAGAGTTGTGTCTTATTTGCAGCATCTTAAGCACGGCTGAATACTGCCTGGCTACCACACAGCAGGTGACCCAACACATTCTTCATTCACATGTTACAAATGAATAGTTTTTTTTTTTTTAAATGATTCAGATGTCCTATATCATGTCCACAGCTGGAGGAGAAGCTCAAGGAGAAGGTGGACAAGTCCCTAATGGAGAGAATCAACTTAACTGGGGAGATGGACACCTTTAGCACGTAAATACCAGTCACACTAACTTGATCCTCAATGCCAAGTAAAAACATATTTGCCCAAGGAAATTAATTACTAGCTGTTAAGTAATTTTCCCATGAATCTCTCTGTTTGGCAGGGTTATCTCAAACAGTATCCAGCTCTTGGTTCAGGACCTGGATGCTGCATGTGATCCAGCCCTCACAGCTATGAGCAAGGTACCATATCGGTACCATAGCAGTTATCAGACGAGTTTAAAGTTTAAGTTTTTATAGTGTAATTTATCATACCTACTGAGGTTGGATATTTAATTGAGATTCTAATTTCCCAGATTTAAAAAAAATGTTAAATTACCTTTGCTGTTATATAACACTCACTTATAGTTAATCTATTAAAAACACTAATAATTTAAAGGGATAGTTCACCAAAAAATGAAAATTACCCCATGAATTACTCACTCTCAAGCCATCACAGGTGTATATGACTTTCCTCTTTCAGACGAATACAATCGGAGTTATATTAAAAAATGTCCTGGCTCTTCCAAGCTTTATAATGGCAGTGAATCGGTGTTGAGATTTTGAAGTCCAATAAAGTGCATCCATCCATCATAAAAAGTACTCCACACAGCTCTGTGAGATTAATAAAGGCCTTCTGAATCGATGCATTTGTGTAAGAAAAATAGCCATATTTAAAACTTTATAAACCATAATCTCTAGCTTCCGTTAACTGTGGTATGCGTGTTCATGAGAGAGTGGCGTTTCAGCGGATGACGTAGGCGTAGTGTAAGCTCCGGTGAGAAGTGACGAATGCGGAAGTGGAGTGGAGAGAGCAAAACAAAATACCGGTCACGAATTAGAAGTACAAAACGAGGATTTGTAAAGAAAAATGTCAGAGGAGAGCTGTCCTTTGCTGTAAACAAAACTTGGTTCTAGTGAGACTAGCATATTCTCATCGGAGCTTATGCTATGCCTACGTCCTACGTCATCTACTGGAATGCCACTCTCTTGTGAAAGCTCGTATGACAGTTAGCGGAAGCTAGAGATCACGGTAACACTTTATTTTAAGGACCAATTCTCACTATTAACTAGATGCTTATTAGCATGCATATTACTAGTGTATTGGCTGTTTATTAGTACTTATAAAGCACATATTAATGCTTTATTCTGCATGACCATATTTTAGATCCTTAATCCTACACCATACCTTAACTTAACAACTACCTTACTAACTATTAATAAGCAGCAAATTAGCAGTTTATTGAGGGAAAACTCTTAATTAATAGTAAATATGTGTTCCCTATTTTAAAGTGTAACCTATTTTTCTTACACAAAAGCATCGATTCACTTCAGAAGGCCTTTATTAATCCCCCAGAGCCGTGTGGAGTACTTTTTATGATGGATGGATGTACTTTATTGGACTTCAAAATCTCAACACCCATTCACTGCCATTATAAAGCTTGGAAGAGCCAGGACATTTTTTAATATAACTCCGATTGTATTCGTCTGAAAGAAGAAAGTCATATTCACCTAGGTTGGCTTGAGGGTGAGTAATAAAAAATTGATATTTTTTATGGGGTAATTTTCATTTTTGGGTGAACTTCCCCTTACATTCAACACTGTTGAATGTAATCCTTAGCAAATCTCAAAATGTTTATCCATTTTCCATATTCTACATTAGAATGTTGTGATGCCTAAATGTTTATTTAAAAAAATTAGACAAAATTGTACAAATCATTTCAATATCAGCTGTTTATCGGTTATTGGCCATAACATGAAAATAATTTGGCTTATTGGTATCAGGCAGAATTTGAATATCAATCAATTTTTTTTTTTTTTTGTCTTTTATTCTTTGCATTTATTTTTATATTTTCAGCTTTTATTTTAATTTCAGCTTAAGTTTCAGTACTTTTGCTATGTGCTTTTCTCATTTTTATTAGTTTTTTATGTTTCTGTTTAGCCTTAATTTTTGTTTTAGTTTAGGTTTAGTAATTTTAGCGCTTCAACGTAAACTTATTTTACTTCATTTAGTTGCCAAGGGAACATTTCTAATTTTCAGTGTTTTCATTGTGAGTTTTTCCATCTAATATTTATTTTATTTTATTTCAGCTTTATTTCAGTATGTAAAAGTTTTAGTTTTTGCCAACATTAAGAATGTCCAGAGAGTCTTTAGAATATTTATACTAGCCTTGAAGTTGATTTTCTGTATGTTTGTACAGATGCCGTGGCAGAGTGTGGAACATGTGGGAGACCAAAGCCCGTATGTGACCTCTGTAATCATGCACATCAAACAAAATGTGCCCATCATTAGAGATAACTTGGCCTCCACCCGGAAATACTTCACCCAGTTCTGCATTAAGTTCACCAAGTCAGTACCAGAGCTACTCGCTAATCAGTGCAACAAAGGCTCTTTCATAACACAGCGTTTGCTAAACTCCTACTGACTGTTTTACTTTCATCCATTCCTTTCAGCTCCTTCATTCCAAAGTTCATCAACCACCTGTTCAGGTGTAAGCCAATCAGCATGGTTGGAGCAGAGCAGGTAGGTAGGGATTTAGACACTGGGATGTTTGAGTTTCATGGACCTTCAGAACATATGTACGTATTTTCGTTCTTCTGAACAGTTACTCTTGGACACACATTCCCTCAAGACCGTTCTTCTAGACCTCCCTTCCATTGGCTCTCAAGTGGTCCGTAAAGCCCCGGCCAGCTACACCAAAATAGTGGTTAAAGGAATGACTCGAGCGGAGATGATCCTCAAGGTGGGAACCTTACGTGCATTCACGGCCATTAAACATTTGAGAATTCGCTCACCCGATTCTGTTTTAAACAGGCCTCCCTGATGAGAAGCTCAATACGGGAAAGTCTTTAATGATCAGCTGCTCATAAAGCTCTGCGTGGTGCAGCGCAGTTATTTACTAAGCTGTGCACGTCTGGTTTAATGAGCTCTCTCTGAGAGACAGGAAGTGCTCACATGCCTTAGCTTTCCTGCCTGCTGGCTTAACAGTCCACAGTTTAATAATCCTCACTCATAGATCTCTACTTATATTTACATATAGACTTGTAACATACAATGGGATTCAAACTTGTCCACTTTTAATGACATATCTCTAATTGAAGTTTTTTTCTCAATTGAAATTATATTAAAAAGTTAATATTGTTAAGAGAGAAATGTTGATTTGATCAGAACTAAGTGACTGGTTGTCCCCATTTTGATTTAATGACAGCCACATTCATGGTTTTCATAAGTGATTTGTCTTTTCAGACTAATGTGTAAAAAACGGCAGATGGCCTAAATGAAAATATCACTCTCTGACAGTAGGTAGCGCTAAAGCAGAAAATCCCTGGTTACTCTGGTACACCGAGCGCTGCACAACTTTCTGTTTTTGACACCTTGTCACAGAGAAGCAGGGAAGTCAAACAGTATTTACAACTTTTCAAACAGCTGTTCAAATGTTAGTATTTCCATTGGTGCTTACCAAACAACACTAAATACAACAGTACAGACAGAGACGAGAAAGATGCTTCCAGATTCTTCCTCTACAATTCACTGTCAGTTAGTGAAACAGTCTGTTCGTGAGCGTCACCAAGTCGTAGTTTTATGTCACAGCAGCGTCTCCAGGCACATGACCTATTGATTGTCCATTTTTCTTCTCAGAGTGATGGAAAAGAGGTGAGAACACTTCTTCATAAAAGTCTGTTGCATTGATGGTATGCAAATGTTCATGTCTGTCTGAAAAGATGCATTAACATCCATTTAGTCCATTTAAAATGTTTATCGCACCAGATTTTTACATTGAACATTCGTCTTGGTGTGAACAAGACTTTAATCCCTTTTAAGATCAAATAATTTTCACTCAAAAAGTGCAGTAATGAATATTGTCATTTTTAAAACTTGGGTTACATGATGATTTCTAACCCAATTATGCACCTTTATAAGTTCAAACATTAGAGTATGTCTACATAAATTCAGAAGCACAAGGAAAGTCATGTTTTCCATGATATGTCCCTTTTAATGTTATGTGTAGACCGATGTTCTGGATGGACGTCTGAGCTCTATGTTGTATCAAATACAACTGGAGGAATGGATGGCTTGTGCCTCAGTGGATCTTCGTCCCCCTGATCTCCAGACCCACCTTCTTCTCCCTGACCCCTGTCTCCAGCCCTAGGCATATTAGGCTCTCCGGGGCTTTCCTGCTCCTGGCCTTTTATCAGCTTTAATCCACCTAATGCTCATACTGGGTTCAGCTCTAATTGTGCAAGATCATGCAAAGATAATATTTAAAAGACGAAAAGCATTATAAGAAAACATGGGCCACTTTGATAAAGTCTTACAGGAATATATCTTGCTCTCAGTGCCATAGTCCAGTATCTCTTAAACACATTTTATTAAAATTGTGCTGGTTTAAGTACTCTTAGCAAATTATATTACTCATAAACACGTTTTGAAGAAAGTCGACCCTAAATGCTTTTTTGAGTTTTTAGCAAAAGCGAACTTTATGTAGGTTTTTAAACTGTTCTTTTATAGTATTTCAACTTGTTACTCACCATGAAAAAAGCCAAGGAAGCTGGCATGGCTTTAAAAAACTAACCAACCAACTTAAAGGGATAGTTCACCCAAAAATGAAAAATGAAAATTCTATCTTCAAATATTCACCCGCATGTTGTTCTAAACCCAAAAGACTTTCGTTCATTTTCAAACGCAAATGAAGATATTTCTAATGCAATAAATAAAAAATAAAGCTGAACCATTTTTACTTGATGCTCAAGAACAAACCTCATTGATTCTCACAGAAGCTCAAAACATACTTGATACTTGTATCGCACAAGCACATTTGAGCTTCTTTTTACCATATTTTATGAGCTCTATGTGTGTTGATCAATATTTATGTGAATAAAAGCCTATTCATTAGAATTTCTTTTATAGTGTTTTATGAATTTTTTTGAATCATGAAGGTTTGTTGGAATAAGCTTTCATTGGTGGAACAGGAAATCTCTCAGGTTTCCCTAATAATATATTCATTTGTGTTTCAAATATGAACGAAAGTCTTTTGGGTTTGAAACGACAACAGTAATTGATTTTTGGGTGAACTATCCCTTTAATAGCCGAGTTATCTTTGTACTGACAGCCTGATCTTACCACAACATGAGCAGCCAGATTTCACAATACAAGTCAAACATGATAAACACATGACCAGTGGCCATTCAGAGACACTTGAAGGTCTGCTTAAGAAACCCTTGCACACGGTGGGTCTTTAAAATCTGGTTGGCATTTAATGATTGGCTTTGTTGGGCCCCAGGTGCCTCTTAGGTAATTACCATCTTCATCAGCATTTTGTTCTGAGGTTCCTGGAAGAGCCGTCAAGGAAACCTTAACATCAAGGTTTCTGCTGCCATGTGGCCAAACAGAGCATGGGTTATTTTTTGTGTTCTGCTTAGTGGAACAATAGCACAATCATTTGCCACCTCAGTCTCGCTTTGTCATCAATTGTTGATGAATTACATCAGTGAAGTGCGACACCCGTTAAGCAGTTTATGGGTGAAATAGGACCTCATTGCTGGTGGTGGCTTGGCTTTCCACATGATGCTCATTACAGGGTAAACGTGGAGAGTAATCCGTTAAAGATGTCTTCACTTTTTCTCTTTCCTTGGCTGGGGAACGGGTTCCTGCCCATCCTTGGGCCCAAACCTCAGAGAGATGTGAAGCTGAAGGAGGCTGCTGCTGCCTGTGAGACGTGGCTGTTTTCCATAGTCT